TGGCTCATCTGTCAGGTTTTCCCGAGATTGGTGAAGAGCTCGAGGATGACGATGGCAAAGAGGATCAAGGTGACTATGGAACCCCCGACGATGGAACACCCGACGATGGTAGTCATGGAACCCCTGACGATACAACCCCCGACGAGGACAAGGTTGAATTGGTTCATCCCTACCCGGTAAGAAAGGTATCTCTCGTTATGAAAAATAATTTTAAAAAGTGGAAAGACGCCCAAACCAAGAAGTGATGGGCAACTTGTAACCATTGTAAAACAAATATTAGCTTGGGGATTTCACATGGATACGGCACCGCCGATAGGCATATTAAGAGTCGTCACCCCGTGGAGTATGCGAAATTAAAAGGCAAGGGGAATCAAACTCAAATATCAAGGTTTGCAACTGGACAACCCTATGGTTATTTCTCCTATGATGATTCCAAATATTTAATTGTTATGCCTTACTTAATTGTTGAAGAAAATTTGCCTTTTATTTTTTTTAAGTCTTGCTTTAAAAGCTTATGGTCAATGTTCTTTAAATCCTCAATTTAGAAACTATAGTCGCAAAACCAACAAAAAAGAAGTTCTACGGCAATATGTTTTGGAAAAGGAGAGATTATAAATGTTTTTCACCAACTTTGATGGGCGTGTAATTGCACATTATATTGATGATGATTGGGAAATGCATAAACGTGTTATTGCTTTTCGTGAATTTAATGACTGACACACCGCTGATAATATTTATATTTTTATCGAGCGTATTTTAATTGAGTATAATTTGATTGATAAGGTGTTTGCTATGAGTTTTGATCATGCTAGTAATAATACTGCTGCTATACCTACATTGTGTGAATTGTGTGTTCTTTCTATTTTGATGGGTATATTTTTTCATTAACGTTGTGCATATCATTTTCTTTATTTATGTGTAAAAGACGGGCTAGGCGCGTTAGGAGATAATATGAAGATAGTGAAGGGGGAATCAGGGGCGGATCTGGCATAGGGCCAGGGAGGGCCTAGGCCCACTCTCAAAAGTAATTATTTAGTACATAATAAACATACAAATATATTACGTAGTATTATATAGTGTTTATGTAGTTATACAAATATATTACGTAGTATTATATAGTGTTTATGTAGTTATGTTATAATAACAGCTAACATCGAACTGTATACACAATTCATGTTGGTGTGGTGGTAGTGGTCTGAGCGTGTGGTGCACTATATTGAGTTCTAATTTTTTTGGTTAAGTGTTTTAAAATTTGAAATTTTTCTTTCAAAATTCTCTTTGTCTCACACGGAAGAAGGGGGTTTTCCTTCGAAGATACTCCCTCCGTTGTTTTTTAAATGCAACATTGGACTTTTTCCACTATTTACATGTTCTACTTTGACTCAATTTTATTTATTAATGTATTATAAATTAAATGAAGAACCAAATATTGTTAAATCCCTCTCATTTAAAATTTTTAAAATCTAATTTTCACAATTTTTGTACTAATAAGGAATGAAAGATATTAATGATCAAACTTGTGCGTTGACAAATGTGAAAAGTGGACCGTTGCATTTAAAAAAGAACGGAGGAAGTATATATTTAAACTCAAGCTCTAATTAGTTGGGCTTTAGAATATTGGCCTGCAAAATTAATGAGTTCATTTTATTGGACTTTTGATTATTGGCCTGATAAATTAGTTAGTTCAATTCATTGACCTTTTGAATATTAGGCTATTAGCCTGAAAATTGATTAGTTTAGCTCATTTAGCTTTTGGGTATTGGCTTCAAAAGTTAATAAGTTTAATTCATTGTGATTTGTTGGTGAAATTTAATTAGTTCATTTTTTTTTACAGAGTATAGACTTTAGATTCAAAAGTAAATTGATTTCCAAGAAATTGACTTGAAAATTGGTACAAAATTTCAGTAATATACGTTATTAAATTGAATTTTGATCTCACCTCAAATCAAATGCTAGATCCGCCCCTGGGGGGATTAGACTTATTTGGGCTAGTAATCCACTTAAAATGCAATGACATCAATATTTGAAGGATACACGTGTGAAATATTGTCAATTTCCTAAAGATTTGTTTATTCGCTAGAGTATTACTTATAACTTAATTGTTGTACTTATTAGATTTAAAGACTATTTTCATGCTTTTTAAAAGAATATGCTAACTATATTATAAATCCCGCTGAAATCGACACTATGCAAAATATTGTCAATATCTTGGTATATTTTAATAATGCAACTCAAACTTTTAGTCATGTTCATAAAAACCTACCGCAAACCAATTCTATGTTGAAATCAAACTTTTAGTCATGCCCCTTACGTTCATCGTTTTTGTTCTTTCATGAAAGAAAAGTTTTTAATATATTATTCACATATTCTGCATATATATGGTATCGCATTTATTCTTGATCCTTTTTCAAACTTGATGCTTTTCAAAATTGTTTAGAGTACTATTATGGTTCTTTTTTGGGTCCATTTCCTATGTATGAAGATAAGCCCATAGATCCTAATGAGCAATACAACGAGATTAGTAATTTATTGCATCAATTATATAATGAGTTTCATACAAAATATGGTAACACACCTCCTCCCCCGACACGAACATCTTCTTCATCTAAAGAAAAATCATTTTCGAAATCTACATTTGGCAATCTTATGAAAAAAAAAAAGTAAACAAACTCTCGATGTTGCACAAAGCTCAATTAACGAGCTTTCTTTATATCTAATGTTTCATGTTGACTATGAAGACGATGATGACTTTGACGTTCTGCAGTGATGAAAGAACAAAGAAAGAACGTTTCCGATTTTATAAAAAAATGTTAAGCAAGTGTTAGCAATGCCGGTATCAACAGTTGCCTTGGAACAAGAATTTAGTGTGGCCGACGGCATCCTAATGGATTATAGAACGAGATTGAGCGCAAAATCTCTTGAGACGTTTGTTTGCTTCCACGATTGGTTGAAGACCCAACATAGAACTCAAGAAATTAGCATCGCCCCCACCCACCACTTCATTGAGGAAACAGCCGGTGGTGTCGGAGATTTCGGTTCGCCGCGTGTTGCGTTCGCCGTTGGGCCCCGGTTCAGCCCCAATTCCAGTATGGGCTGGTTCCAAGTACCCAGTCGATTTGTTCCCGGTTGCAAATCCGATCTCGTTATATGTTTAAAATTTTGCCCAATTCCAAAGCTTAAAAAATTGGCAAACGGGACCAGAATTGCTCGATTCAGTCCCCAAATTTGTGAACCGGGACCTAGTACCCCTCTTGGGCAGACACGACCGGTCTTAGGCCCAAAATCGGAAAACATACCCGGGCCTAAACAATTCTTGACCCAATTCCAGACCAGGTCTACCCTTAATTGGGATGCCTAGAACTTCTATGACCTCTAATTTGAAAGGGAAACAATAGTGCCATCACCGCATGTATTTAACCACAATCAATGGTTAAAAACGTGGGGTGGGGGGAGGGGAATGTGGGAGTGCTGGAGGAAACGCAGACACCTGATTAATATATTTTGTAGTAAAGTTTTGACCTATCGGGGAATGGGGACCTTGAATAGGAACGGACCGAGGACAACCTTTAGGGCATGTTTGGGAGTTTGAAAGGAAGGGGAAGGTGTTCAATGTTAGTCTTTGGAAGAAGAGGAAAAGGGTTGAAAATCATTGTTTGGGAGTAATAAGTTTGAAAAGATAGGGGTTTTGAATGAATTATAATTAAAATCACTGACGAATTCAAATAGTTGAATTTATATTTATTCAAAATTGAGTTAAAATTATCATTTAATTAGTTATCCTTCAATTTCCCCCAATTTAAGAGAACTTGAAAATTGAGTAGTTGAAGGTTTTGGAGGGCTACAAATGCCCTCCAAACCACCCCTTCATATTTTTCAAATCCCAAACATGAAAGGGGGTTCATAAACTCTTCTCAATCATTCCCTCCCCTCCAAAATCCAACTCCCAAGCATACTCTTAGGGTGTGTTTGGAGTTTGGAGGTGAGAGAAGGGGAAAGCTTTGAGGGGCAGTAAAGAGAAGGGGAGGGGAAGGAAATGGGAAGGGATTCCTCCCACTTGTTTGGGAGTTAAAATTTGAAAATGAGAATTTGGGTGGATTGGCTTGAGCGCATATCTAAATTACGTATAGAGTATAGAGAAGGATGCTAGCAGCAGATAGCATATCGTATCTAGTCTAGGACTCTTAAAGCTGACTTTACGCAGAGATCAAATCCCGTTCAACTTTGTAAACCTTCAAAAACTCCGGAATCAGGGGAACTAAAAAAAACTTTTGGAGGGTTTTATAAGGGCTACATAAACCCCCAAAACCTTTCCCTCACATTTTATTAACTCCCAAATATAAACAGGAGGTTTACTAAACCTCACATGCCATCCTCCCCCCCCCCCCCCCCACCCACCCACCCAAAAAACAACAACTCCCAAACACATCCTTGGGCCAGTCTAGAACCCATGGCACACTGCACTACCAAGTAAGCGCATATTATGTGCCCATCTGAAATCGGATTTCAAAAGTATAGCAGATTTTATAATTTTAAATTTTTAATGATAGGTATTATAGCTCTTAAAATGTCATGAATCCAACCCTACACATTTTGCTATGAAAGGTTTTCATAGCAAAAGGGCACGAATATTTAAGCAATAATTAAATAAAGTACTTCGAGTATATTTTTAGAAATAATTTTAATAGGTATATGTTATAATGTAGTTAGTAAATTTAGTATTGATAATTGTGATGTTATAAATGTATTATTTTTTATATTTAATGATTAATTTGTCACTTAAAGTTGTTAATTGTTTCCTAAAATGAAAATGAGAACAGACGTCCAAAAAAGGAAAGTGGGAACCTTCTAGCGGGACGGAGGGAGTATTTGTCAAGGCAAACTTATCATATTTAGTTTGAATGAAACTCTAGATTTAAACAACGAAACAAAAAAAAATACATGCAAATCACAAAGAAATTGAATCGGAAGATTATATCTAACAAATGTGGAGAATTTTTGGGCTGAGATCAAAATCATGATGATTCAACTGAAAATGTTGACATATAAACGATGAAAAATTTCTTTAAAATTCCATCTTGAAAGAGAGGAAAACAACTCAGTCTATAGCCCTGGACAACCTCTGGTGGCAACACATAAATCTAAAAAATTAGACTACAAAAACACAGTTCTCTAAATATAAAGCTACATTTTAAATCTGTTCTTATAGGGCATCTGTGATAGCCAAAAATAATCTCTTCCCCCATCCTCATCCCCACCACAAATAAACCTACAAGTCTACAACTGAAAAGAAAAATTTTCAAAAAAAAAACAAATGAAAAAACTTATTCATAGGAATGATGAAACTATATATGGTACAAATCACCTATTCACCTGTATAAGGAGGGATTGATGATTGCTGGACACTACCTCGGCAGACAGGCTCCAAAACAATACAATCAATCATAAAGATGAACTGTTTCCAGGAAGGCCCTCCTGCACAAATCTAACCGACCTACACTGTCTCAATTTGTTGAGGGCCTCTTCTGTCTTTCCACCCAAAAGATCGACATATATCGCAATGAGATTCACTTTGCTGTTGTGGGGCATGATAGCCAGTGCAGCCATCACGTATTCTCGGGCCCGCTCTAGATCTCTTTGCATTGCTGACATGGTGGCCAAGTTGGCAAATAAAACCCCTCGAGCCTCTTCTGGGTTAAGGAACACAGAGCTCTTAAATTCGGTCACACTCCCAGAAGTTGAAGGATCCTTGGAGTCGACAGACTTCTCCACTCTCCACGCTTCGACATCATCTTGATCAAATGGGTGCTGGACCCCATTGTCCCCTGAAAGATAAACATACAAGTGTTCTGCGGCTTCCTTTGGGCGGCTAAGCAAGCATAGAGCCTCAGCTGCATAGACATTACCCAAAAAGGTATATATCTTAGATGATACAGATTGTTTTAGTAGATTTTTCGCTGTCGATAAAGCCTTTAATGAATTCTCCAATTCAAGCTCCACATAAGAAAGATCAGCAAGAAGAGCTTGCTCAATCATCTGATTCTCTTCTCTACAAATATTCTCATATTCTGACATGGATGAGCTCTGAACTTGGGAGGCATTCTGACCACCCCCGCTACCCTTTTTCTCTTTTGGCTCACTGTTTACCACACTTGATATCTTCTTAGTTTCTCTGGGTTCATTTTCCTCATTTTTAGGCAATTCAGAACATCTCAAAAAATACAACGCCATTGAAAGGCACTCCCGGGCGAAAGTCATACTGAGATTAGGTTGACCGCCACCGACCTCCAATTCCTCCCCACCAATGGAATTGTCATTTCCAATAACAAGGTGCCTCCACTTTCCCTTTCCAACTACGTGCACTTCAATTCCTGATTTTTCAGAACAAGAGGTACTAGAAGACTTCAGGAGTCCCTGTTCAAGTGCCACCAGACAACATTCTGCCAAACGCAACCATAGAAGAGGCTTTTTGTAGAAAACAGACCTAGACTTGTAAAAATACCATGCTGCCAGAACCGGCTTCCCACATGTCAAAAAGTGCATGCCGATGTTATATGATATGAAGGCAGTCTTGTCCTGAGAGATGGAAGAGAGCTTTTTAGGCTTCTCCTTCCATAGAGATGAACAGCTTTTCAGGGCCATATTGAAAAGTGCACCAGAGGTGTGGTGTTTGCCGAGTCGGTAATGGATGCAACCGAGGTTGTTGTAGTACATGCACGTTATTCCGGCTTCCTCACGCCGCTTCCTTGAATCGTCTAGTTGTCTAATTGCTCTTGGATATTTCCCAAGGGCGTATTCAACTTGCGACTTCAGATAGAGAGCCAAAGAGTTTTCTTTGACCATACCGTTCTTAGCACAGGTCATCGCAGTCTTGAGGTTCCTCGTTAAGAGATTAAAGCGGACATTGAAAAGCATCAGCTTGTCATTCATATCCATTGTGGTTGAAATGGACTCCTCAGTTTGGCTCTTTGGAAGATCTTTTGAAGGTTGCCTTGGGGGTGGGTTCTGCCCACCCATCTCGATTGATGATATTAAATGTAATGTGTCATCTTCAAGAACCTCCTCAGATAGAGATCTGGTCAAGGAGCTCTCAGAATTATTTGGAGCAACTAATGGATCAGGATGATGTTTTGCATTGGGAATGGTTGAATTGCTGGAACCTGAAACAGGTTTTGACTGAAGGTTTGAGCCATGTTGTGGTGTAGAGTTCCCTCTGGTAGCTTGATTAATCAAACTACTGCTACAAAAGACCTTCTCCAGGTAGCCAATCACATCCTAAAGTCAAATGACAAAGGAATCATGTTGAGTTTGATGAAGAGGCTTTCAGAAACAAAAACCATTTAAAACTAATAATAAAGGCAAAATGACATTTGATATGCCATTTAAAAACTAATACTGAAGGCAAAATGACATTTGATGTGCCAGTTAAGATCGCAAACACATTTCCACGTACAAATGGATCATGAAAATGAAAATCAGTTTCATCCCCAGCCCATCCACTTATGAAGTGGTAAACACTTGTGCCTTGTCACCAACATCAAAGCATTGTCTGTTTAAATAAGGTGAAAGGTGTGTGAACAGTGTGAAAAAACTGTTCAGGCAGTAAAGGGACACTAAAATCCAGAAACATGTATAATTTTGAAATAAGTAGGACTGAACTGTATGAGGCTCTATTTGTTCCAAGATTTGTCTGTGTTTTGAAGGCAAATAAACATTTTCCAAAAAGAAAAGGTGTTCCTTTTGTTCCTTACGTTCTTTGCAAATCTATGAAATTGACTTCCACTTTTCAAAAGAAATGATCATCTTCATGAACCCAGTTTTGGTGGAAGCCATTTATATCTATTTTGAAGTCAGCAGCTTATTTTCCAACAGAACATTTTCTACAGCTTAGTTTCTAAGATCTCTGCGTTCATGGGAGGGCTGAGGCACACTTCTGACAAACACCAAGTGCAAAGGGAGGACAATGATTGATGAACTAACTAAGCATGTGGTACACTAAAAACCATGAAAATCAAACAAGAAAAAATTTAAGACTATTAATGAATGTATCATCAAAGATAACTTACCATAGCTCTTTTTGCATTATTGGAAACCAGTGCAACATCCAGTAACAAAAGACAAATACGTTTTGCAGTATCCTGCACATGAACAATGAATCTGCATGTCAACTGAAGAAAGGAAAATGGGCCTTTCAATAATCCTCTACTATACCACAAATAAAAGGAATGGGTCTTTCCACATATTGCATCACTACATTTTGAAATCAAGTATATAACTACATGGCCTGCCTTTTTTACCTCATCTACTGGTTGTATATTCCGAAACAATTCATCCAAAATTGAGAAGGCTTTTGTATATTCATGTAAATGAAACCAGCAAACTGCCTGATAAAAAATAAAATGGACTAGTTATGCTCTACAGAGAAAACTAACAGAAAAACAATACTCTGTATCAAATGAACAAAATGGTGAGGAAGTGTCTCTGAAGTAAAAAAGGTACATACTAGGTTGTATAACATAACAGAGATGTCCAATTCATCAGTGAAAACAGCTTGAGAGCTACGTAGGTTAGTATCCTGATTAAGGGTGTCAATAGAGCTATTATTTCCCTTAATCCCGCCAGCATGTTTACAGCCAGAATTCCCAGTAGCAGCCTCAGCACGGTCCTCAGATACACCTACAAGCTGCTCCTTTCGATTCTGAAATATTAAGAGATGTTAGTCTATAAAAATACATGGTAAATGTATTTCGGGAGGGAGCTCTAAGGGCAGGATCGTGTGGCAGTGATACAAATGCCGCAAAACCAAGAAAAATATGATAAATGAGAATCTCAGTTTCCAGAAGTATCAAATAGATAACTGAAATGGTTGATAAAAACACTTGGATTTACAACATACTACTGTTTCTTTTTTATGATGCTGAAGAATAAGATTTGAGTTAAGGTGAAAAGTATACACAGTAATTGTTAACATTTTTCAAAAGCAGAATAACTCAAATTAGAGTAGGGGTTATTCTTCAATCTATTCCACAGTATGAGCACTAGAAGTATAAGGAGATATACAACATCTTAGCTTTTTGAGTGACGGATGACAAAAGCTTCATAAAAGAATGACTTTGTGCTTTGCATTAGAAATGTAATGGACCAAAATGACAGATAATATAGGGATGAGAGTATTTCAGAAATAACTAAATTCTAACCACACAGCACTCCAAGGCCAAAAGAGATCGTATGCATGTTAGTATTATAAAGCTTCAGCAATTGTTGGATGAAAGTTATCCGAAATAAATAGACACAGACGAACTCCCTTAGATGCAGAAATAAATAAACACATACAGGTTATTTTTGACAAAATTACATCAACTATACATGCATTAGGATTCTTCGGCAAACCTGCCAACTAGAAAACTCTTAATAATAGACAACACATAGTAGCTAGTCACAAACCTTAAAATTTTCAAGTTCTTCAATGAGTCTCTTGGGATCCGTACACCCATCTTGAGAGTTCTCTGCAATGACTATGTTATGAAGAACCTAGGCAGTGCAGAAGAATAAGCGCATTGAGAATATCTATCATATTCGAAAGTCTCGTTTTAATATCATCTAACAGCAGTAATAATACATGATATTGAGCAAACAAGAAAGGATATTAAACATGCTCAATTCGAAAATTCAAAACCAATTTCAGTATGTTGAAGAATAAAACAAAAACACACAAGCCTTAGTACCAAAAGATTTTGGGGCCAAAAAGGAAAAAACGATAAGAAAGAAAAATGGATAAGGTATGATAAAAAAGATAATATAATATAGAGATAAGATATACATAAAAGTGATAAGAATCATAAGATAAAAGTGATAAAAGGAATATATATATATATATATATATATATATACAAAGATAAAAAAACATAAGAAAGAAAAAGAAGATAAAGGGGAAAATGATGTAAGAGATCAATCCGCCACACGAGTACCCGTATTCCACTTTGCTCTCTCCAAAGTCATACCCTCATTCATTATGTTGAAGAATAAAGCAAATGAATAAGCATTTTACCTAGACAAGCTGACAACTAGGAAAATGAAGGGGGTCATTTTCAATGTTAAAAATTATGTTATATGTTACAAAGCATGGAAAAATTGAGGTTTTCATGCAATAGATAGATAAACACACAACGCAAAAATGGTGCAAGACTTCAAGTCTTATTTAAGAGTAAAGCGCTTTCAAGCCTGAAAGGAACTAGAAGGGAATAAAACAGTGATATAGCGTGAGCTACAGTCACTAGTCTACAACCATATGAATGGCCACCTCATGAAACTTAATTCCTTTCTATAGCCGTTTAGGCATCTTCTAGATGTAATCCAGTTCGAAAAGCTTAAAACCAAGGGAAACACTCCATTAATTAACACTTTTTTTAAATAACATTATAACAGCTCATTGTCATTTTTGAACCCTTCAAAATGGAGTAGCATAACTCAACTCGAATTTGAAAAAGTCATATTAAGAGATCAGAGACCTAGCCAATAACTACCAAGTTTCATTCAACCTAATACCATATGGTCTAGTGTACCCGACCAAACTCAGTCTGTAAGAAATATTCAAAAGGAATTTCAGCTGAAGTAAGCATGCAAATGGAATAAAGCAAATCAACCATTCAAGCAATCAAACAAGATGAAAAGAATAACCATGGCCAAAATATTAAGAAACCGTCTTCATCAACGACCAATGAACAAACAGAATGTCAAATTTCATATTCTGCATACGGACAAGAATGCATTCACCTTCGGATCGCCTTCTTTCTTCTGCAGGAGCTGATTCAAAACCCTAATGCAGTCCTTATATTGTCCCGTATGGAAAAGAAGGGATGCCTCTCTGGTCAGTCCTGAGATAGTGGGAGGGGAAACCTCGTCCTCTGCAGTTGCCAGCGCGGCTGCTGAAGAAACAGCAGCTTCTCGGTTACCAGACACCGCCATTGAGGCAGAAGGAAGTGACGAATCCATGCCGCAACAGATCGACAGTATCTCCACTAGGAAAAGTACCGCGAGAATCCAAGAACCCTACTCTTCGCAATGTAAAAACCCTCACCCCTATAAGTTGACGTCCTCCGCATCCAAATCTCAATTCGCACAGATCGAGTGAGATTCAGACACTCCGAACCCTAATGCTTCAACATAAAATATACAGAGTGCATTCCAATTTCTGAAGAGTTATACACATGTACGCATCAATTGAGAGCCCGCCGATTCTAGACCGGAGGAGAGAGGATATAGAGATAATCTAGAGTTAATCAGGAGCTAAACTATTACGTGGAATTGGATTTGAAATCCCACATTTTTATTCAAATTTAAATTGAAACCCCAATTTGTAAATTATTAATATTTGGGAAAACTAAAAAATCAACACAAATATTTTTTTTATAGAGAAAACGGTTTATATTATAACATTATAATGCTAGTATTTCTACTTGTGCCGTGTACATGATAAAATATGTTACGTACGTAGTATGATTTTTTTAGTATTATTATAGAACCTAGAAAAAAAATTGAACATGTGAGTCTCGCTTCATAGTATCAAGAGAAAGAACAATCAAATACGGATCCGGAGCCTCTACCTTACTTTAGAGTAAGGTAGAGTGCCTTGCTTCCTCCCGGTCGTCCGATCGACAATTCAACGGTCGGAGATCTTGGGCTCCACTTTTTCGCCGATCTCGAGGTCGTGTTGGCCGCTCCCATCCCGTCCGATGCGCAAGGCACCCTCCTAGTCGGGTAGAGGATCCCAATCCATCAAATACTCCGTAAAAATATTTTATCGAAAATTGATCTCTAAATAGTTCATTGTTACATAAAACTCAATTCAGTTTCATCCAAATGAAATCACTTTTTTCATTCATCTATACTTAAATAAGAAGTGATAGTTGTGATTTACAATTATTCAACAGATTTAGTCAATGTAGCCACTTTAAATAGAATTTCATAAATTTGTGCATATTTAGTTAATTCATACGATTACAACAATACTAAATGTGCCCCTCGTCCCCAAAAATGAACTTGCTACTCAATTCTGTTTATTGCATGCATGTGGTGCATATTAAAATCTAATTAACTAATTATTGCAAATATACAATTTATTACTTATTTTGTATGCAATAAATATAAATAATTGAACTCAATTTGAATTCCTTTTTATTTTATTTTTGAAATACTAAGTATGTTATATATTATTTAATAAATATATTATTAAATAATTGTTCTCTTATTTATATCCTTATTTCTAAAGTAGTATGGAGTAATAAATTTTAAATTGACAAATTCTAATATACAATCACAATATAAATTGACGCATATTATACCATATGACCGACATACAATGCGCATAGTATGTCCAATCCAAATACGGCAATGTTTTATGAATTGAAAGAAGGCAGCACAGATTCATAGACATCATCGCAGATCCGAATTGAACTCTGGCGGCCATCATCTGCTTGAATCGCAATCGCCGCCTTCTAGTGGTCTCTCTATCTCCAGGTTGATGTCGTGCGCTGCTCGTCGCTAGCCATGGACAGGCTGCAGCTCATCACCGACGGGGATCTGCTGCCATGTGCTTGTTGCTCGCCACCTCCATCAACATGCAGAAGAATGTAAGATCTTTCTGGAGGTGGAGATTGTTTTGAGCAGGGAACGAAGCTTTTTGAAGTGATAAGAGAGTATGAGGTGTTTAAGAGAGTTACATCTCTATAAAGGCTTTTTATATTTTAGAATGCTAAAGTTGCATACCCCAAATTACATCTAATTTGTTTCTATGTAACATTTCAATTAAAGCAGTTTACATCTCAACAAGTTACATGCAAATGATTGTAATTTACATTTTGATTAACTTGGAATTACATGTGGATTTGCACGAGTTACATTTCATATAGCCATGGGAGCATGGTGCTCACCATGCACCGGTTGCACTGTATACGGGTTGGTAATTTGACATGCCCTAACTAGCTTAGCGATAATGAATAAGTGAGCAGTCCAACAATATACCATTCTATATATTATGGCATTGCTCTATTAATTTTCAATATTGAATAATGATATTTTAATTTTGAGTTCAGCCCATCTACTCATTATAGGTTTTGAATTGTGTGATTGTGAAGGAAAAATGATATCATGAAAAACATGGTGAGACAATTGTTAAGATTTGTTAAGATTTGTTGGATTGGAATTTGGTACTTCATGTGTTCCAAATTATATTGAATTAGATTTTGCGAATGGTAAGGACAGCTAAAAATAAAGCTAAATCATCCATATGGCTAATTAAATCAGTTTTAATAATTAAAGCTTACATCTCCAGAGTAAGTTACAACAACAAAAATTGGGGCTCTATAAAGTCATATAATCCAATTTATTTTAAAAGTGGCTGACACATTCATTTCTATGGTGTATTTATTTATTTATTTTTAAATAGTACTAAATGAAACTTATTCACAAAAATGTGACTAATAGTTACTGCGGTATAATCTTATAGTCACTTAATTGCAAAACTTGAACATAAGTTACTATGGCTAAATTACTACTCCAGTCATCAAACACAATTTTATAAACTACATTTATTCTAATCACATATATGTAATTATATCTATTTATTTTAGAACTCTCTTATAGTACTTTAGAAATGATATGATCATAGGGTGTGTTGCATTGCACGATAAATATGCATTTAAAGTTTTTAAATACAATTATACGGGAAATGAATTGTATGAGAATTCATCAATCGGAGTTTAAAAGTTTTTTCTACCCAGTGGCAAATCATCTTAAGATGGGGTAAGGGTTGGGGAACACCTTACCATATATTGATAGACGAGGGAGAAAAGGACAATACAAGGTAGGGGGACTGGGCCAAAACCCACCTGAAGAAAGAACTAGACAACATAAGGAAAAACCGTAGCGGCAAATTTAAGAATACTGCTGAATCTAGTGGATTTGACATCAACCCCCATACTAATTTATTTGGCCGCGCAGTTGATCTTTTCGTGGACAAGAGTAAGGGTGATGTGGTTTTGATGCGAAATCCTGTGAATGAATGAGATGGTAAAAATCTGGTCCCAATGATTGATGAATTCAAGGTTAATGTCTTGGAAAACTCGTGGGTTATCGATTTGGATGTCTGTGTAGATGATGCCCCTGCCCCTACAAAAATGAGATAGTTATAGTAGGCCTCAATAAAACCCTTCACAAGACCACTTTAGGCCTCAACAACACCCTTCTACAAAGGGTGTTGTTTCTCATCTTCCAGAGATTCCAAAGAATGACAATGTAAGTAATAAAAGAATTGTGATGGGTCTACTTAAGAATGGTGTCCTTCATGTTGCCGTCCAACCGAGGACTCTGGACCTGAAAATAACTCCAAATTGGAGTGTTAGACTTACAATGCAAGAAGTAACGGTCGATAGAGTCATGATGGTTGCGATGCGGACACTTAAACGGACCATGAAACCCATTCTCTGGAGTGAGTCAGCACACAATAAGGTTGTTAGTAGTCCGCCAAAGGAAGAACGAAATCTTTTTAGGAATCGACTTCTTCCAAATAAGGTTGAGATTAATAAATTTGGGTTGTTTCTTCCTGATTTCATCATAGGTCGTCCTAAAAGTGAAAAACACCAGTGGTGGTGCAAGTCCAGTGAATAGTCCGGTGTCATATCAAAAGATGGACGGTTATTCATAACGGGCGTGCTAATAGCCGGAGGGAGGTCTCTGACATGGATATGAATATTATCATAGGCCTCTCTGATAGAGATGGGGTCGTGGGTCTCGGTGAACAACCTATTAAGAGGTCCACAAGGGCTCCAGTTGGAATCCCAAAACAGACTGCTTCTGTTATGCACCTCAATTTTAGTGTCCGCACTATACATATCATACGCAGAGACCATAGAGGGTTAGATAATAGAAAGAGTGCAGGAAGCCCAATGCTTTGCCCCTTATCTTTTTTCCACCATAGTTTCAAAAAGAAGTTGTCATGTACATCCTGTAACATGCAAAAACCCAAACCATTTCGTTAAAGGGATAAAAGCATTTTTCCCATGACCTCCATCTAAAAGAGGAAGGAGAAATATGATCCTTTTGTCAAAGGAATTTGTTGCAACAGTTTTCAATGCCCTGAAGGACCCCTTTTGGGACCTTAGAGGAAGCCGTAGTATAAAGGGGAAAGGTAGCCAACTCGTGTTTGATCAAAATAATTTTGCCAGCTTGGGAAAGAACTTTGTTCTTCCAGCTATTGAGGCATTGAACAATCTTAATCACATGGTGTGAGAAATAGATTTTTTCTCTCTTCCTAGGTAGATTACCTCTGTTTAATCATATTATTTGTACTAGGGGGAGTTTTTGGGCCAGTAAAGAAAGAGCTTTTATCAAAATTAATTTTTTGTGTAGAGATAATTAATGTTTCTGGTGAGAACTTCCGTAACAATAATGAAAAGGATGGGAGAGAGCGGGTCTCCTTGTTTGACCCCCTGATTGGGGTTGAAAAAGCCATAAGGAAAACCATTTATAAGAATAGAAAACCAGGTCCCTTTCAAATTGTTGAGAATAAGATTATTGAAATTAGGGTGAAAACCAAGTTTATCCAACATTCTTAACGAAAGTAAAAGATATGCGGTCAAAGGCTTTGGTCAGAGAAAATTTAGTCGACTATGGATAACGTTGTCAAAATGACTCGATGTCTGTAAGGTTAGCCTATTTCATCTCATTTCACGGTAGATTAGAGTTGTTACTTTTTAACATGATAAACTTACCGATTCATAAGTCAACTTGCACAGGTTGTAGATTAAGTGGGTTGACCCATGCAGGTTGTGACATACCAAAATATAAATATCAAATTTTTACTTTCATTGTCTTCAATATCAATGGATTACCACCAAAATTATTTTCAAAAATACTTAATATTTTACCACCTTTGTTGAAGTATTATTTCTATAATAATTATTCAAACAAATTATTCTAGCATGTTTTTATGTTATAGTAGAAAATAATTTTTTAACATTTAATAATCATTGCTTACAAATATTTACTCAAAGGTATAATTGAGTTGATCTAAAGGCTGAAAATGCACAATGGTATTTTGGTAATAAAAATTAACTTTTTTTGGATGCAACACTTTAAACGTTAATATGCAACTATGTATTTCATGGCATAATAATATCCAATAAAATAGCATAAAGATGCATTGCACAAAGTTAGCACAATAAGCACATTTAGTACTGGATTCATCCCCTAAATATAAATACATATATACATTGTTAAATATTGGAGTACATAAGAGTGGAGTTTTGAAAGTTGAATA